TACTTTTTGTTTTCATGTTTTTTTTTTTTTAGCTTTTATTCCCATTTTTCCTTTCTGAACTTTTTAAACTCCATGGAAGTTAGTCTCAAACCTTGTCTATAGTGCAATAAAACTAATGCAAGAAGGGTTACTTCATAGAAGAAATATATAAAACGGTTAAATCATCTGATAAAACTCAAGGTACGAACTAAACCGTGGATCTTGATAAAAAGGCAAACCTTTGACGGTCCCTGCGATTCCTATCCTTGTAATAAAAAAGATGCTGAGATAAATATATCCATAAATTTGGGTCTGAGAATTGGTGTATTAAAAGTTGTAAGCTGGTATAGAAATGCAAGAAATTATTGACACGGGCATCTTACAATATCTAAATCTTTTTGCTTTCTACATTCAGAAAGGGCAAAGTGGACAAAGAACTACGCCAACGGATTAAAAAAAAATCTAAACAAAGCTGTATGTAGCAATTGCCCAGATCATTATGATAGAACTAGTCTCCTGTACCTAGAGTACTTAAACCAGCTTAATTAATCAAATATATTTAAATTATACAGTCGCAACTTTGCGCCAGAAAGGAGACCTGATAGTAATAAATTTATTACAGGGCATCAGAATATACGTCTCTTCATACATAATGCTGTCCTTCTGATGACCCATATTTAAAATGTTGACAATTCACACAAAATGATCAAAATCTTGCATCCTTGGTTCATCTTAAAATTAAGATTGAACAATTTGGACATGAAATTGAAAAATAACTTCTTAAGGAATTCGAATCTTTAAAAGATATTAGACCTCGGTATATCTGGTTCTTTTGAAATGACCGAAAAAATGGCAAGTCTTTTAAAAATATTAAGTTGTAGATTATATTTTAAAAATTCATGCACTTCTATGAGTATATTATTTTTGTACTACGGGGCTGTCCAGGTCAGACCAAAAATATTACAAAAGGATTATCAAAATTGGAGAACAACTTTCATATTCCTCGCCAGGCGACTCTCCTTATAATTTAGGTTATTTCCATAACTATAGAAGAATAATTTTAGTTAATTTTTTTAGTTATACAATTGTTTGGAAGAAAATGAAAAATTTTGAGAATAAGCATGAGTGTTGATACAATAAGCTCTAAAGAAAAATAATTTGCAAGTTCTATTTTGGAAGAATAAATTTGTAAATAAAAATTAAGAGACAAATCACAAAATTACAATTTCAAAAATAGGAGGGCAGCCAAATTAGGACATGAGAGAGATCTATGTGAAAGGAATCAAGAAAACTACCCAATATTTTCTCCATAATTTTCTCGACCTATTTTACATGACCAACCAACCTTGAAGGAGTAAATAAAAGGAATATTGCCTTGATTAAACTTATGATCAATCATAACCTAACGAGATGTTGGAAATTTAGCATAATGATTCTAAATTAGTGTTTTTAGTTGGAATTGATAATAAGAATGGATTAACTCGTATTTTTCTATAAATAGAAGGCCATATGATATAGCAATTAACCTTGAAGGAACTAAATTATTTTCTTCCTCAATTTCTCTCTCCCACTCTCCATCTTTCGAACATGGAGGCTACCGAAGACCGTCACTTTCTCTCCGCTCGGCATACCACCCAAAGGATGAGATACTTTGGGATATGGGTTCTGAACAGCAAAGCCACCGGCTCCCTCCCCTTGACATTCCAATTGTTGATGGATCAAAAGTGACTACTGTGGTTCTATCATAATTTCAAAGTAGCTAACCCTTGACTTTATTGTTTTGATTTCAAATTTAAATTGTAATTTGCTGCCCATAAGCAAACTTGCAAGAAATTGCAATTGTGTTACGAAATTTTCTACAAATTTTGTGTGATATTCCGGACATAAATTTTGGGAACATGATTGGCAAGGCTAGGATGTGTGGGTCTCTACCTTCTTAGAGTTAACACTCCTAAAAGAAAATCAAAGAAGAATAATTGTGTGGTGCCTCTTCTAACAGCAATAAAGTTGGTGTTGTCATGTTATGGAATTATTGATTAGGCCACCAAAAAATCTTATACCTCAAAAAACCATTTCATTCAATATTTAATGAAAGATCAAAATCTTTCCGGTGTGAGATTTTTCAATTATTTAAGGATGTCACGATACCTGCTTGAATCAAACTTATAAATCATATCTTTCTTTTCCCTATAATACACAATGATATTTGATCAATTATGTTACAGGTTCTAGTTGGTTCATTATCTTTATTGATGATCACAACAGAATTACTAAGACATTTTGTATAAAAGAAAAGGGAGAAGTCGACCAAAATATTCCATAATCTCATTAACATGAATCAAACTCAATTCCAAGTAAAGATACAAATCCGATCCTCGAATCAGATGATGGGGGAGAAATACAACCACTCAATTCTTGGATCATATATTTCAAGTAAAGGAATAGTGCATCAAAGTTTATGTTGATATCCCCAATAACAACAACAACATCAAACCTTTATCATACTAAGTGGGGTCTGCTACATGAATCATTTCTCTCCATTATGTCCTATTAAGAGTCAGATTCTCATTTACATACAATAAAAAAAGGTCATTTCTAATCTTTCTAACCAAGTTAGGCCTAGATTCAATTTATTTTAAATCAAGTTCTCATATGATCTTGTGCTCACTTTTACACTCAATCTCCGCTTCTAACTTTTGATCAGTAGATTATCCTTCATAAACATGATTTTGTATATATGCATGCTCAAATTTAACATTCTCAGACATAGATTCAAATTTTTAACAACAAATCATTTTTGCAATATAAAACATCTTTAACAAATATTCAAGAATTAGAAGTTCTCCAATTGAATCAACTTCAGCCATATATAATTCTTGCATAAGTGTATCGTCCATAGGATTTAGATGAGATGTTACCAAGTTTCCTTCGGAATTGGCATGGGTACACTAGCCTTAATTGAATACCCATAAAATAACTCGATACACAAAGATCTAAATTAAACATCAATTAGTATTTTCAATGAACTGTAGGCCTAAGTTATTCATAAACTCTAGCCCAAGACCTTTAATGAAGCAAGCAGTAGTAACAAAATAGTCTAAAGGAAAATCATGTGGGCTACAAGATGTGTAAAGCTAGCATGATATTCAAACGCATTATGATCTTTTTTTGTTTGTACTCTGAAATTGATAATGCAATTCATCTCGATATTCACCAAAATATAATTATTTCTCATTACGCATATATTTCATGTTAACACATGTTTACTTTTCTCCACTTAAAACACTTTGTCAAGCAATTGAACACATCCCACTATTTAAGTTTCAAAAATCTTAACTTTTCCACAATCAAATAAATGATATATTTAAAAACCAACTCTTCCAAAACAATGATCCTTCCTAAAATGAAATTTAAGAGCATACCCCCATCAAATTTAAGAATATAATTGATGTGATGCAATGATTGGAGTTACACAAGAGTTAAAAGAGAATTAAATTCTAACTCAACCAATTATACAATCATGCATCAAAGTTAAGTCAATTTTAAATCATTCGCAGTGTTCAATATGCTAGGCAAAGAACTCCTATCGATTACCTCATCAATAATTTTGAACCTCAAATAGTGATATTATTTTAGATGAGAACCATAATTATATCTTTTTAATTGAATCAGTTAAAATTTTATATTGACCCAATTAATACGTCTACATTTAGTAGACATTATGGTACAATTTGGGGTTAAGATTTTTTAATACGAAAAATAATATGACTTCATACGAAAGTGAGGATTCATAGATTACAAATCAACAATTCCTTCAACAACTTGCTTTTTAAATGTAAACATCCAATCTTATAACTAAACACTGAAATGATTGGAAATCCAAGAAATTAGAGACATAAAATTAGCAAAGCAATTGAATTTAATTTCCACAAATTGAATTTCTAATATATCAATTTTTTATCAAGCTTAAGAGTACTAAACAAGTCATTTTTAAATTATGAAGATGAGATTAGAATGAGAAACGAAAATAACAAGTAAAAAAAAAAGCCTCACACTGATAAAAGGAGATAACTTCCCTAAATTTAGACAATCACACTTGTAACCCACTAAAAAAATCACAAATCCAAGTTTTACTCATAAAATTGAAACAAGAAAAAAAAATTCTTCAAGCCAAAATTAATTTTACATACCTCAAAACATTTATTCATAGATTTGTTATTCCCTAGGCTATGATTGGCATAAGACCGGTTTGGTCCAAATTTAAATTAAAATCTCAGAAGATAAAAATAATCTAATAAAACAAAATTTCAAACTACAAAACTTCAATAAAAGAACTTATATTTCAATGTTACTTATCATTGGTTTGGGTTAAAAGGGAAATATGTAATAACCTCAAGCCTCGCAAGAAGGCTCAGGCTCACCCATCTTGACTAGAGTGCATTTATTCAAAGATTTTTTACATTTTGATGGGCTGTTATGAAGGCTCAAAATTCGGTATTGCTATTACTTTCACTAATTTTATAAAGAGAAGCATAATACTAAGTTAAGTGTGGCAGAGATGAGGATGCTCAGGTGGATGAGTGGCTTTAGCCTTAGAGATAGGATACGAAATGAGCATATACGTGAAAAAGTTGGAGTAGCTCCAGTAGAAGATAAGATTAGAGAGAGTCGCCTTAGATGGTTTGGTCACATAAAAAGTCAAGCTAACTCGTGATACAGCTCAGACCTAACTCGATAAATTAGACTTGAATCATGCCCAATAAGCTAATGAACCAAGCTTTAAGGTCACTTGACTCAACTTATTAGCTCGTGAGTTGGTTCATTTATTTAATATATATATATATATATATTAGAATATAACATTCTAAATGTAAAGTTATTAACATATTTAAAAATTATATCTACTTTATCTCAACATATTTCTTATTATTTCTCCTCTTAAGTATCTCTCGTTTTATAATGTTATTATAAACGTTATTTTAATCGAAAGCATCTTCTCTTTTCATAATAAATGACCCAATGTCTCTTCGGAGACAACTAATAAAATTAGAATGATACTGAGAAGATTAGCCTGGTACTTGTGCAAGGATGACATGTACAAAACAAGAAATGGTCCAATTTTTTAAAAAATTTGAACACTAAACCCTTAAAAAAATGGACTCATGAACAGACTTGAACCGATAGAATTGAGCATGAATTAAATCAATTAGTTCTAAAACCAAGCACGACCTGTGTACACCCCTAGTATTTACTCGATATCCCCCATCTAAATAAGCAAGGATTGCAGGCAGAAAGGTAAGGCTTTTCTTAACTAATATAATATTTCTCTTAACCGCAATAATAATATCACCATCGCTTCATACAAAAAATCGTCATTCAAAGCACAACAGCCGAAAACCAGACAAAAACGCCAAAAAGGAGGAACAACTCCAACACCAAAAGGTTGGAAACTATGACAGAAATCAGAAGACAAACAAAACCACTCATGGAGCAGCCTAAATCCAGGACCATCACCAAAAGTAAAATAAATCGTAAAGACCTCCAACAGATTCGGCGAGTCCAACTTCATGCTACACAAAACAGTATGATCCGGATGAATAATTGTCAGAAACAGATGCATAACATGATTAGAAGAGTGATACAGAAAAGTCACACACAGAAGATAGCCAGCGAATAAGCTCAAAAGCTGGACGAATCAGATCTCTTCAGCCGAAAGGAAGACAAAGAAGAGAACGGATTACGTGAAAGTCTATAGAGATAGAAAAACTAAGAAATATCAGAGCTGGGATTGGTTACCTGAAAATTTTCCCCTTCGGTTCCTTCGGGAGAGGAACCACAGATTCGTTTGAGGGTCGCGAAAGGTCTAGAAAGTTCAAGCTGAACGGAATTATAATCGCGGCCAAAAATTGTCATGACCCATCATGCCTAAGCTCTCCCTAAGCTATTATGGGATTTACATTAGGGCTGCAAATTAACAGAACTTTTGACAAACTACTGGTAGTTCAACGAATTTCAACATTTTTGATAAATATTTGATAATTAAATAAGTTAAATTGAACTAATTTATGTTTGATTCGTTTATATTCATGAATAGTATCATTTAACGTCCTTGAACAAGCTCGTTAAGAAGCTCAATTAAAATTATCTTAGAGTATATATATATATGATTAAATAATTTATTTTCACTTATCCGATTTAAAATTGATCAATAATTTATTTTTACTTTCCACATCCACCTAAAATCACAAGCAACCTACACTTTGAACAAATATAAAATGAATCATAGATCTTTTGTTTGCGAACGAGCCTATTTGGTAGCTTAAAAATGCTAATTAGATATGACCATGAACTGGCTCATTTGATTGCTCATGAATACTCATTAGATATGTTTGTTAACAACCTTATTTGATAGTTTAAGAAACTTCGTTAGATATGTTCACGAGCAAACTCGATGTAATTGTTTGTTAGAATGCTCGATAAGGCTCATTTGGTACATGTAAAAGTAGAACTCGTTTATAGCTCGATAAAACTCATTTTTTTAAAGCTCGATAAACATGAAATGAATAAAACATAAACACTCATTAATTTAAATGAATCAAGATTGAATACAAGTTGATAATAAATGAACTCAAACACCAACACGCCCATACTCGGCTCGGCTCGGTTTGTTTTCAGTCCTAATTTGTATCCTCTCTAAATACCATGATAATTGAAGGTTCAAATTATTAAAATTTTACTAATTCAACCCATTGAAAATTATTATAATTATTTTGAAAGTGAAAAAAAATTTATATCACAATTATCATGATAATTAGAGAGAACATAAATCTCTTGCTTTGGAATTTCACAAAAAAAAAAATGCTCAAAATAGAAGCCTTACAAAAGGGTTTTCTAATATCTAACCATCATTATTTGATGGCATCCTTTTTGACTTTTTTGAATGTTCGAATGACAACCCTCATTCAATCTATCAACTATCACTCATAAAATCTAATATATACTTCCAAACAAGTTTGAACCCAAAAAAAAAAAAACATAGATATTTTTTATAATGAATGGATGCAAGAAGAGCCTTTTACAGAAGCACAAAAAAAACAAACGAAGCCTATATCACATGAGATGTGTGGTCGAGAAAAGAGCTGGGACTGGTCTACCCAACAAGCAATAATAAATATAACTTGGAGTAATTAAGAGCCTAAACCTGCATGAATTCAATTAAATTTAATACCGTTGTCACGACATGACAACATTACTTGATGCGATTTTAATTTGTTCGTTCAATTACTTCTCAGAATTTGTCTAATCATCACTTAAAATCATAGAGAGAAGGATATATACTTCCAAACAAGTTTGAACCCAAAAAAAAAAAAAAAAAAAAAAAAAACATAGATATTTTTTATAATGAATGGATGCAAGAAGAGCGTGAGTTAGCACAATGAAATTTCAATGTTTGAGTTGCTTTTTTTTTATTTTCCGTGCGTTTAAGTTGACGATTATATAAGTGTTTCTACTTGTAAGATTGATAAAGAGATATGTAATAGATTGTTTATCACTTTTAAAGGCACAAAAAAATAATGTCGCATTAACATAGTCATGGAAGATTATAAGATCATTTTTTATATGATGATTTTACATGCTACGAAGATTTTATTTGGGACGGCTTTTTTACTACTTCTTAAAGCAGATTTTTAGTACAAAAAATAAAAATTTCGTACTAAAAAGCTGATTTAAGAAGCAGTAAGAAAGCGGTCTCAAACAAAGCCAAAATGAGATCATTTTTTATATGTACATAATATTTATTAAATTTATTACATCAATACATGCATTGGAAAAGAGTAAACTAATGAATTGAAAGCTAACAAAATTCTGTGTCTCATTTATAAGATCTTAAAGTTTATTGCTTACTTTTATTATGAAATTTTAGTGACTTATTCTATTGATCGTTTGCTTGTTGCACTTATTATAAATAAACTTGGCCAGAGAATTGGAGACATGACAAAGAAATGAAAGAAAGAAAAATTACACAAAAATATCATAAATTGGAGTAGATTGAGACATAGATATCAAGTGATGGTGTGGCTCTAATTACTAGAAAGTTTAACTCCTTTTTCAATAATAAATAGAAGAAATTCCATGACAGAGAAAGGGATAATTAGAAATGTAGTGTAAATTTGAAATATAACACTTACATCTTTTATTGTGACTACAATAAACTAAGTCATGTTAAGTGGAATTTCCCAAATATCAAATACTTAACTCAAAAGGAAAAGGGATGCAAGTGAGGCTAAAATGTTCAAAAAGAAATTTCAAAATGCCTTTGGGATGAACTCAAATGTAGATTCATCAGCCAACAAAAGGTTAGCTACTTTGAAGTAATGAGAAAATATGTTTACATGTTATTTTTGACAGACTATGTCCAACATCCATAATATGTTTCATGTGTCTATGTTGAGGAAATAGGTGTCAAATATAGATCAGAGAGTTCAAAAAGTTAAAGTAGAGGTGCACAATCTGACTTACAAGGAAGAACATGAACGTATTATGGCTTTTGTTGTAAACCAGTTAAGGAACAAATAGATTCTAATGGTTAAGGTTTAATGGAAGTACTGATCATAGTGGGGAGCAACCTAGGAGAAAGAATACAAGATGAGGCAATTGCATGCTAACATGTTCTGACTGAGTTTTCATTGTCTTTGCTTTAAATTTGAAATGTCAGGGATGACATTTTATAAGGAGGGGAGAAAGTAATATTTTCCATCAAATTCAAGTAATTTTATGTAACTAATTATTAATTTTGAGTTAATTGGTACTTATAAGTATTGGAATGTTGAATGGGTTAGAAAGCAAACAAGGTTTAGGATTTAAAAGGTGAAAAATCCAAGTTTGGATTTTGTTATGTGGGCATCTTAGCATTGGGGGATACTCTGCCCTTGGGTTGAGATCTCAAAACAAATGACATATAAGTAGGTTTTGGGTGAGCACTATAGCACCAGGAAGGAATTTTTATTGCCTCAGATTACCTGACGCAACTATACGTTCGGTACACCTTAAAAATGTGACACCTGGCAGCCGCCTTTACTCGTAACCCGACCCGGCGAAGATTGGGTATATTGCACATGCGAAATTTAAATTTGACGGCCCGACCAGCGGACCCGAAAAATATCCCGCGGACCCGAAAATAACGTATAATTTTCAAACAAAGATTACCGTCTTTCACTTCAGTCATCATTTTGTTGCATATACTTCATCTACTTCCACCGGTGATTCTTCTTCTTCTTTCAAGTTTCTAGGTCTTTGTATTTTCATCTTCTTCCAAGTTCCAAGCTCTCCCTATTTGCGTTTACAATGCCTCAGGTTAGTTCTTTTTTATATAAACAATGCCTCATCTTCTTCTTTTTAAATGTTTAGAGTTAGGGTTTACCGAGTTAAAGTCCTATACCTGTTGGATTTTGAATATTCATGACGAAACAATTTCTCGGTATAGATTAGTAATGCTCGGTATTACTCGGCACCGACCAGTTCCGACAGTTATAAACACTCATTACCGAGCGGTACTGAGCATTACTAACAGTCGTTCCTGCTCGGTATTGGCCATTAATGGTCGGTATAAGCTTAGGTAAAAACTCGGTACTGCTCGGTACCAAGGAGTACTGAGTATTACTAACACTCGGTACAACTCGGTATTGGCCATTCATGGTCCGTATAAGCTTAGCTAACAGCTCGGTTCTGCTTGGTACCTAGCAGTACCGAGCTTTACTAACACTCGGTAATGCTCAGTATTTGCCATTAATGGTCGGTATAAGTTTAGCTAACAGCTCGGTACTGCTCGGTACCTAGCAGTACCGAGCATTACTAACAGTCATTACTGCTCGGTACCGAGCATTAGCGAGCATTACTAACACTCGGTAATGCTCGGCATTTGCAAGTAATGGTCGGTATAAGCTTAGCTTAAAACATAAAATATTTTATTGATATATTATCGGGTTATATACACTCGGTATTGCTCGGTACCGAGTGATTTTGGCAGATTAACGATTGGTATTAGCTCAGTTAAGCCTCGGTTAGTTGGTCGGTTCTGCTCGGTAATACTCTGAATGAATTGTCTTTAATACTCATTATTTTGTTATGTGGGGATATACTCCAAAGATTCATTTTAGATGCCGAACTTTGACTTTTAGAGAAGTTTGTAATCCACTTGTTCGAAGATTTGGAGAACCCTTTGTTGAAAGACTTAGGCTGCTGCAAATTAGCCAATTCCTGAGGGTACCCCTAATGCCTCAAAATGTTTCGCTTATATATATGCTACTATCGAAGTGTGATATGAAGACTAAAAGTTTTATTATTAAAGGACAAAGTCTAAAGTTCACATCCGATGAAGTTGAATTACTTATAGGCATGCCGAATAGGGGTATTATATTTGATATTGGCAGTGCCATATCTAGTGGAAAAACTTCAAATGACATTCGCCATGACATTGAGAGGATGGATAATACCACTCCAATGGAAGATCTAGTGAAAGGCTTCGTCCTTTACCTACTATCCAACATATTTTATCCAATGGCTAACTTCCGCATTCCATCATCTATACTGGAACTTGTCGAAAATGTAGATAGTTTTATAACGTACAACTGGCCAGAATCAATTAGGAGTTTCCTAGTAAATGAATTCAATAATGTTGCAACTAAACAAGCTAATGGATCCGCACTGGGTTATGTAAATGGTTTCGTCATGATTCTAATTGTGAGTATTGTTATTTTATTCAAAGGATCATTGTTAATTTCCAATTTTTATAACAAAATTAAAGTGTCTTAATTTTGGCAGATTTGGTTTCTTGAACATACAACCATTCATGCCGTGGAGGATGAACTATCCCGGTCATGTTTTACTCATTGGGATGGTAATTTTATGTACAGTGAAAAAGAAGTAAATAGTATATTTGGTGACCTTCAGGA